AGGGGCATCACTTGTGAGTCTGAGAGCCAACAGCTTGTTGTATGCCTCCATCCTAGCATTGCATGGGTTGAACTGCTCTGACAGTCGCTCTGTGAAGTAGTGCCAATCATTGAACAACCTTCCTTCTCTAGCTCTATCAATATGGAGCTTGGAGGTCCACCACTCTCTTGCTGTCCCTTCTAGTTGAGCACCCATGTGGTTGATCATCCTAGTCTGCTCATACACCTGGTTGAACTTAAACCATGCTTCAGCTTCTAGAATGAAGATCTCCATGTCTCAGGGATTGAACTTTGGAAAGGGGGTGGTGATGGGCTTTGACTGGTTAAGCTCTGCCATGATGCTAGAGTCCTCCTCCTGATCAAGAGCATAGTGATCTGTCCTGCTCTTGTTATATGGATCCACCCTGGACTTGACATATCTTGGCCCTGTGGGTGAAGCATACTTCTCGTAGTTGACATCCTCCTGCTCATCCAGGTTGAATGAGACTGATCATCTTGGTCATGGAGCTGGAGTAGGAGTATGTGGGTCTCCTATCATAGACTCATCTCCTCCTCCTGCTTGGTCTTCTGAGTGAGAGAGGTCCATTGTCTCCTCCCTGCTCAGTTGAGCTCATTGTAATCGTTCCTCTCAATAACCCTGTCTGGTCAGCTCTAGCTGTGCTTCCAATAGAGTGAGTAGTCTATCAAGCTTATTGTTGAGGTCTGGGTCCGTCTTGGTGATCATGAGGAGCTGCTTGAATGATCCACTCTAATGTCAGGGGTCTCGCGCCTGAAACCCAGGTCGGTCTGTCGAGATACTTGGTGACTATCAAACTGTGCGACAGCTATTGTCTCAGTATCAGTGACTATCAAGTTGTGCAGTGACAGCAGGTGGCGTTCGTTGTATACTATCGTAGGTTTTGGCTGACCTCTGTGGACACTCCATTCAGGGGTAGCTCGGCACAATCAATATCAGTGCTTTGGTTATGATGACACCAAGGTCTGGTGTGAGTGTTGATGATGATGAGGTTGATGACATTGGTGATAAGGTTGGTGAGTGTTGATGATAATGAGGTTGATGGTGTTGGTGATAAGGTTGGTGGTGTCAACACGAGTGTCCAGTGTGTTGACTTTGACGCTTGAAGTGATCCCCGGACTGCAGTGGACTACTGCCTTCGGTTCTATCTATATCCAGACTGCTAACCTGCTATGGGTGCCTTCGGACGTCAGGTAGTGGTGATACAACACACACACTATGATGAGGAGCAACCTTGATAGATTGCTGCTATGCTGACTGAAACTAATGTATACTTATGCTGAAGTGATAACTAGTTATATGGTGAGTAGAGCGGATGAGGATCCACTTGACCTTTGATGATGAGAAAGCATGGTTATATACCTCTTCACAGCATCGCCAGCGATGCTGCTCCTGCTCTCTCTCCAGAGAGTACCTTCTTCATCGAGTACTGTTCAGGGGCCTCTCCTGCTTGGCACCCCTGTGCCTCTTGAGTGGTGTCGACTCCTTCGACACTGCTCCTCCTCCTCATGACCTGGTGTCGACTCCTTCAACACTGCTCCTCTTCCTCAGGACCTGCTTGCCAGTGTCCTATGACTCTTGTCTCTCGAGCCCCTGAGTGGTAACCATCTGAGCTTGGTCCTCTTCGTGGCTGTGCCTGGCCCTCCTCGCATGTGGCTCGGTTCTCCTTTGCATGTGAGTCCATAGGAGTCCATGGTCTCCATGGAGACTGCACTACGACCATGCTCTCTACTGGTACCGACTAGGTCTTCGATACCTGTGCTCCTTCCATATGAACCAGTGACCCTCCTGCTTCTTGAGCATCCAGGCCCATGACACTGAGCTCAGTCCCCTGCTCCTACATGTGGTTATCTCTGTATGCTTCTCCTTCTCATGCCAGTACCTTCCTTCCTGAATCTCCTGGTACTTGCTCATATTGGCTGACTTGCTGAGGCATGCTGATCTGGCTGATTCCGATCAATCCTCATGAGATTTACCTGGAACCCAGAGTTTGGTTGATCTTGTAAATCATATGTGCTACCAGCCCAATTAGCTTTGTCGATTCCCAATGACTTGGCACAGATCAATTTTGCACCCCCTTCATATGTTAATCTGTTGATCCTGCGACATTACCATGAATGCCATCAGTCAATTTGGCGCACCCTTCTTGTGCTGGCCCACTGGCCCTGTGACAACTCCGTCCAGAGGTAGCTCAGCACCATCAGTAACTGATATGAACTGGTACTAACACCAAGGTCTGGTGTGGTTAAGATTGTCATTGTCACTGACAGGAGTGTCCAGTGTGTTGACTGAGTGCTTGAGGTGATCCCCAGACTGCAATGGATGACTGCCTTCAGTTCTATCATTGTCTGGACTGCAGGTTTCTATGAACCACCTGTCAGGGGTCTCGCGCCTGAAACCCAGGTCGGTCCGTCGAGATACTCGGTGACTATCAAACTGTGTGACAGCTATTGTCTCGGTATCGGTGACTATCAAGTTGTGCAGTGACAGCAGGTGGCGTTCGTTGTATATACTATCGTAGGTTTCGGCTGACCTCTGTGGACACTCCGTTCAGGGGTAGCTCGGCACGATCGATATCAATGTTATGATGACACCAAGGTCTGGTGTGAGTGTTGATGATGATGAGGTTGATGGTGTTGGTGATGGGATTGGTGATGTCGATGATAATGAGGTTGATGGTGTTGGTGATAAGGTTGGTGGCGTCAACACGAGTGTCCAGTGTGTTGACTTGATGCTTGAAGTGATCCCCGGACCGCAGTGGACTACTGCCTTCGGTTCTATCTATATCCGGACCGCTAACCTGCTATGGGCGCCTTCGGACGTCAGGTAGTGGTGATACAACACACACACTACGATGAGGAGCAACCTTGATAGATTGCTGCTATGCTGACTGAAACTAATGTATACTTATGCTGAAGTGATAACTAGTTATGGTGAGTAGAGTGGATGGGGATCCACTCGACCTATGATGATGAGAAAGCATGGTTATATACCTCTTCACAGCATTGCCAGCGATGCTGCTCCTGCTCTCTCTCCAGAGAGTACCTTCTTCATCGAGTATTGCTCAGGGGCCTCTCCTGCTTAGCACCCCTGTGCCTCTTGTCGACACTGCTCCTCCTCCTCATGACCTGGTGTCGACTCCTTCGACACTGCTCCTCCTCCTTTGGTCAGTGACAGTTCCTTTGGCTCTTGTCTCTCGAGCCCCTGAATGGTAACCATCTGCATGCTCCTTGAGCTTGGTCCTCTTCGTGGCTTGTGCTTGGCCCTCCTTTGCATGTGAGTCCATAGGAGTCCATGGTCTCCATGGAGACTGCACTACGACCATGCTCTCTACTGGTGTCGACTAGGTCTTCGATACCTGTGCTCCTTCCATATGAACCCATGACCCTCCTGCTTCTTGAGCATCCAGGCCCATGACACTACCCCCCTCTTAAGAGCCGAGCTCCGTCGAGGCATGCTCTGGTCTGGTTCATGCTGACTCCTCCTCCTTGACAACGTTGCCAACATCATCCTTCCTCCTTCTCTCAACGTCATCCTCCTTCCTCTTCTCAACGTCATCCTCCTTCCTCTTCCTCTCTCTACTCCTCCTGTTCTCTCCTCCTCTCTCCACGTCATCCTCCTTCCTCTTCTCAACTCTGTCTACTCACTCGTCCCCCCTCCGACACCTCATACTCCTGGATGAGGTCGGGACAGTTGAGGTTCTCTACTGGTTCCCATGAAGCAGCTTCCTCTGAGTACCCTCTCCACAACACCTTGTACTCCGTAGTCCCATTGTGTGAGCGCTTGTCGATGAGTGCTTCGACTTCGAAATCGAGGTCCTCATCTGGAAGTGATGGTATGGTGGGCTGTTCAGCACGTTGAGGAAGAGAACTTGTTCTTGCTGGCTCGAGCATAGAGACATGGAACACATCATGCACCCTAAGGTTTGCTGGCAATGTGATTCGATAAGCTCGGCGTCCTACCCGTTCCTGAACTGGGTAGGGTCCTGCGAACCGGGTGTCTAACTTGGGTGTGGGTCTCCTTGTCTTCCAGTTTCGTCGGTTGATATAGACCATATCACCCACCTTAAACTCGATGTCCTTGTGCTTCCTGTTATACTGGTTTACTGATCTACGTTGTGCCTCTCTGATCTGCTCCTGGAGGTACTTGCAACGCTCCTTTCCATCCATGAGGTACTCGAAGCGACCTGGATCATTGACTCCTAGTCGTTGAGGGATGTCAGGATGAGCTTTGGGGTTCCATCCATAGCATGCAAAGAATGGTGAGACACCAATGCTGTTGTGGACCGTGTTGTTATATACAAAGGCCGCAGTGTCCAGCAGGTTGGCCCAGTCATTCTGCTCATAGTTGCAGTACATCCTGAGATATTGCTCTATGACCTGATTGACTCTCTCTGTCTGACCATCAGTTTGAGGATGGTAGGCCGTGCTAAGTGAGTGCTTCACACCCATTTGCTCTGCAAATGCCTTCCATGCTCCTGATATGAACTGCCTGCCTCGGTCCGAGACCATGTGATCTGGATATCCGAAGAGTCTAACCATGTGTCCATATAGCAATACTGCAGTCTGTTTGGCCGTGACTGTCTTATGGGTTGGAGTTAGTATGGCAAACTTGGTTAACCTGTCGACGATGACTAGGATAGAGTCATAGGTCTTGGAGTCATACTTCTTTGATGGTGGTAGTCCTTCAATGAAGTCGAGGGATATGGAGCCCCAGGGCCTGTCTGGGGTTGCTAGTGGCTGTAGCAAACCATATGGACGATGACGAGGAGCTTTGTACCTAGCACATACAGGACAACTTGCTACATAGTCTGCAATCCAAGCTGTCATGTTTGGCCACCAGTAATGTCGTTGAGCTGCCTTGATGGTAGCATCTCTTCCTACGTGTCCAGCAGTGATACCATCATGGCATTGGGTCATCACCATGAATCGCAGATGCTCTACAGAGAGAGACTGTCCATCTACCTCTTTGGCACTCCTTGAGTGTCAGTTGTTGGTCCTCCCTGGCATGATTACTTTGGGGATAACCAACCTTCCTCCACTGTACCATAGGTCGTCCTTGAGTTCGAAGGGCTTCTTCCTATGTATCTCCTGTAGCTCTTGGTCTAAGGGCTGGAAGATCTTGACCAGGTCTTTGAGACCTTTTGATGCTATGGACTCCATCGAGAGCATAGGGGCCACTAGGGTCGAGTCATGGTCTGCTGTCTCCTTGAATACTCGAGGAGGCAGTAGTTGCCTCACATTGTGATCCTGCTCTTCACCAGCTGGTTGCATGTCTGTCCTTCTGGTGAGAGCATCGGGTTCACCACCTTTGTCTCCTGGTCGATACTGCAATATGAAGTCGAAGTCTGCTAGTAGTATGGCCCATCGAGCCTGTCGACCTGTGATGCGTCTCTGTGACTTGAAGTACTTGAGGGCTTCATGGTCAGTGAGGATGACCAGTTGGTTCGGTAGTCCAGCTAGCATGTGTCGCCACTGAGTGAGGCAGGCGACCACAGCTAGGAGCTCCTTATCATGGATCTCATAGTTCTTCTCGGCAGAAGACATCTTCCTAGAGTAGAAGGCCACTGGATGCCATCGTCCTTCATGCTCCTGCTTGAGCACTCCTGCTATAGCAAAGTCACTTGCATCAGTCTCCAACCTTGTTGGGAGGTGGTAGTCGAAGTGCTGAAGCACTCCTGCTGATGTGAAGGCCTGGATGAGCTTGTGGAAGGCCTGTTGGGCCTCCTCTGGTAGCTCGAGCTTCTTGAACCGTTCTATAGGCTTTACCAGTGCTGTCAAGGGCTTGGCTATGCGAGCAAAGTGGGCTATGAACCTTCGATAGAAGTTGGCAAAACCCAGGAACCTCTGGATGTCATGGATTGACTCTGGCATTGGCCACTCCTTGACAGTGCGCACCTTTTCTGGGTCCATCTCTATGCCCGTTGGCTTGATGATGTACCCCAGGAACTCGACTGTCTTGGTGTGGAACTCACACTTCGACAGCTTAGCAAAGAGCCTGTTGCTCCTTAAACGAGTGAGGACCTCGGTGACATGCTTCACATGTACCTCTTCAGTGTCACTGAAGATCAGGAAGTCATCTAAGTATACCACTACATATACTCCAATGATGTCTCGGAAGATGTCATTGATGAATGACTGGAAGTGAGCCGGAGCATTGGCTAGGCCAAAGGGCATCACTAGGTACTCATAGAGTCCCAACTGAGTGCCAAAAGCTGTCTTCCATTCATCTCCTTTAGCAATCCGGATGAGGTTGTATGCTGCTCTAAGGTCTAGCTTGGTATAGATCCTTGCCTTCCTGAGTAAGAACAGCTGCTCCTCGATGAGGGGCAATGGTGCCCTGTTCTTGACAGTGATCTCGTTGAGACCTCTGTAGTCCACACAGAGTCTGAGACCTCCATCCTTCTTTGGTACGAAGAGCACTGGTGATCGTGCCGGGCTCTTCGATGGTCTTATGAACCCCTTCTCGAGGTTCTCATCCAAGTATCTCCTCAACTCGGACATCTCCTTGGGTCCCTTAAGGTATAGGGGCCCTTGAGGTGGCTTCCCTCCTTCTATCAACTCGAGGTGGAGATCATGCTCGGTATGATGGGGCAGCTTGTCTGCTTCCACCTCATCAAACACATCTCGCAGGTGTTGGTATGGCTTTGGTATGTCTGCAGCCGTCACCACCTTGTCTACCTCCACCTCCATCTCGACTCCTTTGTCTGCGCCTGTAGGTACAAACCCAAAGGCTGGGAGTGATGATGGTGGCTCCTCTAACAGCATGAACCCTATGGGTCCATCTTCCAGAGCTGCTCGTAGTATGCGCTCTGCTGAGACAAACTCGTTACCATGAAGGGTTGGTCTCCTCATGGTTAGGTCCCCTGCTCTTGCTGCTTCAGGGGGTCTCCTAGGGGGTCGGTCCTGCTCCTGAGTCTTGAACTCCAGCTGGCCCGTATCCCATTGTATGGTGGGTTTGAGCCTCCGTAGCTCAGTGAACCCCAGGATGAGGTCATAGTCTGCAGTGTCGGCCACTGAAGCTTCGACCACACCCAGATTGTGTGTACCAATGGATACCTGCATGCTCGCAGAACTATTGATGGAGAGTTGGTGCCCAGCGACACCATGGATCGATCTTGTTTTTATGGGTTTTGTGGGTATTTGGTACTTACTAATGAAAGAATCTGAGACTATGGACAAACCAGCACCGGTATCAGCTAGTATCCGAGCAGGATGGTCTTGAACCATTCCAGAGAGCTCCAGTACTGCTTTGCCTCCACTGGTAGAGAAACATACTTGACAATCTTGATATATACAGAGTGATGGCAAGGAGGTTTGTAGAGCAATGCATGCCATCAGTGCATCACCCCACTGACGTTTCCCTCGTCGTCATCATCATCGTGCTCCTCCTCGTGATCGAGGTCCATGGGTTGCTGGTATGAGCTGAGGTCCATGGCCTCGGGGTCACCCGTCTCAGTGCTGCCTGTGGGGCCATCTCCTGAGTCGGTGGCCTCCTCGAAGGGGTCTGCTGTGGTGACCATAACCTTTGGTCCCATGGGTCGAGAGCTAAGAGGGTCTACCCTCCTGCTGGGGCAGTCTCTGGCCCAATGGCCAATACCCTTGCATACATGACAGGTGTTGATACCTGATGGAGCAGGGCTTCCTTGCTTCGAGGGTTGGGTGAGTTGATGAGGAAGGGGTCGGTTTAGGTTTTGTATAGTTGCTTGTGTAGTTGCTTGTGATGGTGATCGAGCTGGATAAGGTTGAGTGGGTTGTCGGATGGGGATTGAACTTTGATTTGGCCGAGACCCAGGTCTTAGTGGAGGTGACGTGGCATTTGGGAGTGAGTGTCTAGCCGAGGACTGCTGTAGTAGCATCCTCTGTCGATCGATCTCCTCAACCTCTCGATACCACTCCCATCTCTTCCCAGGTGGATTCCTCTCGAACTTCTCCTGTATGCTGCGAGTGAGACTACCTCTGAAGAGATCAATCACTAGCTCATTGTCATCTAGGTTGACCTGTCCTTCCAAGTCTCTGAACCGCTCTACATGACGTGTGGCGGCACCAGGAGCATCACTTGTGAGTCTGAGAGCCAACAGCTTGTTGTATGCCTCCATCCTAGCATTGCGTGGGTTGAACTGCTCTGACAGTCGCTCTGTGAAGTAGTGCCAATCATTGAACAACCTTCCTTCTCTAGCTCTATCAATACGGAGCTTAGAGGTCCACCACTCTCTTGCTGTCCCTTCCAGTTGAGCACCCATGTGATTGATCATCCTCGACTGCTCATACACCTGGTTGAACTTAAACCATGCTTCGGCTTCTAGAATGAAGATCTCCATGTCTCGGGGATTGAACTTTGGAAAGGGAGTGGCAATGGGCTTTGACCGGTTAAGCTCTGCCATGATGCTGGTATCCTCCTCGTGGTCCAGGGGGTAAGGGTCCGTCCTAGTCCTGCTGTAGGGGTCCAGCTTAGTCTTGACATATCTTGGCCCAGTAGGTGAAGCGTACTTCTCGTAGTTGATGTCCTCCTGCTCATCCAGGTTGAATGAGACTGATCGTCTTGGTCGTGGAGCTGGAGTAGGAGTATGTGGGTCTCCTATCATAGACTCATCTCCTCCTCCTGCTTGGTCTTCTGAGTGAGAGAGGTCCATTGTCTCCTCCCTGCTCAGTTGAGCTCGTTGTAATCGTTCCTCTCGATGACCCTGTCTGGTAAGCTCTAGCTGTGCTTCCAATAGAGTGAGTAGTCTATCGAGCTTATTGTTGAGGTCTGGGTCCGTCATGGTGATCGTGAGGAGCTGCTTGAACGATCCACTCTAATGTCAGGGGTCTCGCGCCTGAAACCCAGGTCGGTCCGTCGAGATACTCGGTGACTATCAAACTGTGTGACAGCTATTGTCTCGGTATCGGTGACTATCAAGTTGTGCAGTGACAGCAGGTGGCGTTCGTTGTATATACTATCGTAGGTTTCGGCTGACCTCTGTGGACACTCCGTTCAGGGGTAGCTCGGCACGATCGATATCAATGTTATGATGACACCAAGGTCTGGTGTGAGTGTTGATGATGATGAGGTTGATGGTGTTGGTGATGGGATTGGTGATGTCGATGATAATGAGGTTGATGGTGTTGGTGATAAGGTTGGTGGCGTCAACACGAGTGTCCAGTGTGTTGACTTGATGCTTGAAGTGATCCCCGGACCGCAGTGGACTACTGCCTTCGGTTCTATCTATATCCGGACCGCTAACCTGCTATGGGCGCCTTCGGACGTCAGGTAGTGGTGATACAACACACACACTACGATGAGGAGCAACCTTGATAGATTGCTGCTATGCTGACTGAAACTAATGTATACTTATGCTGAAGTGATAACTAGTTATGGTGAGTAGAGTGGATGGGGATCCACTCGACCTATGATGATGAGAAAGCATGGTTATATACCTCTTCACAGCATTGCCAGCGATGCTGCTCCTGCTCTCTCTCCAGAGAGTACCTTCTTCATCGAGTATTGCTCAGGGGCCTCTCCTGCTTAGCACCCCTGTGCCTCTTGTCGACACTGCTCCTCCTCCTCATGACCTGGTGTCGACTCCTTCGACACTGCTCCTCCTCCTTTGGTCAGTGACAGTTCCTTTGGCTCTTGTCTCTCGAGCCCCTGAATGGTAACCATCTGCATGCTCCTTGAGCTTGGTCCTCTTCGTGGCTTGTGCTTGGCCCTCCTTTGCATGTGAGTCCATAGGAGTCCATGGTCTCCATGGAGACTGCACTACGACCATGCTCTCTACTGGTGTCGACTAGGTCTTCGATACCTGTGCTCCTTCCATATGAACCCATGACCCTCCTGCTTCTTGAGCATCCAGGCCCATGACACCACCTTCAGATGTCAGGGAGCAGTGATACAACACATGCACTATGATGGAAGCAATTGTATTGAGATTGCAACTTGCTGACTGAATACTAATGTATACTTAAGTGTAAGCTATAACTAGTAATGAAAGGTGTAGAGTGGATGGAGATCCACTCATCCACCTATGACAAGAAGGTATGATTATATACATCTTTGCAGTGTTACCTGCAACACTGCTCTGGCTCTCTCTCCAGAGAGTACCCTCTTCATCAAGTACTGTACAGGAGTCCCTGTAACATTGCTTCTGTCCTTCCTGAGCTGTGTGTTGACCTCTTCGACACAGCCCTTCCTCCTCATGACCTATGTGCCAGTGTCATTGACACAGCTCTCCTTCCTCCTAACTGGCAACTGTTCTCCCAACTCCTGTCTTGTGAACCCCTGAGTGGTAACCAGCTGCATGCTTCTGAGCTTGGTCCCTGTCTTGGCAGAGCTTGGTCCTCCTTGCATGTGAGTTCATTGTATGATCATCCTTGCCACCAATCTCTGCAGAATCTGCTATATGATCTCTTCTACTACTGATCTTGGCAGAATTCATGATACTATCCTTGCTTGTGCCAATCTTGGTGGGATCTGTCATAGAACCATTTCTACTACAGATCTCAATGAACTCTGCTGCAAATCCCATGATCTGCCCAATTCCTTGATTCCTGTGCTCCCTTCATATGAGTTGATGGATCTTCTTACTTCTTGCACATCCAGGCCCATGACAATTACCAGGAGTTTAGCCGAGATGCAAGAAAGCCGAGTCACCAAGGATTCGAAGAACAAATGTGCATGATCAATGTGTGGCAACCAATTAGGAGGTGCTTGTGAAAGACAATGCTGAGGCACAAGAGAGACAATGCTGAGGTGACATGTGTCACACTCAATTAAGTGGGAGGCAACAGGGATTCACAACAAAGGACTAAAGGTATATATACAAGTGATACTGTAGACATAGTTCATGAGAAATTCTAAGCATTGCATCTATCTTACACCTGTGTGAAAGGAGCTAGAACGTAGCCCAGACGAAGTGGTGTACTGCATAACTTCAACTACCAATTGCCGAGTCATGCTCACTCACGAGATGACTCAGAAACGCAGCAAGTATGATGTAGTGGACAAAAATAGCTCAGGAGTATTGCAGGAGACTCTACAGGAGTGATGATTGAAGAGCTCAGGAGAACAGGTGCTATGTCCATTCTAGGCAATCAAGACCTCCTCATGAAGACTGTGAAGCTATATATACTCATGTTTGTAGTCCTAACTCACTTGAATAAAATAATGTCCTCAGTTACCATACACCTGTCTGAAGGGAGCTTGACCGTAGCCCCATCGCAGTGGTGTCGACACTTTAATTAATTCAATACACTCTTATCATTCTTCTATCTATAACTCGTTTTCCTAGATGAATAGTGTGTCCAACCTAAGTACCTAGTTCTGGATGCGCTACGCGGTATAAAGTCTGTACGTATCCGCCGAAAGGCACCGTTTTCCGCTAAAGTTTTAAAAGGATGCATTGAAATTCGTGCGCGGTAGAACTGCTAAAAGTGGACTGTGGACGTCGTGAAAGCTGTAGCATCACTCTCATCAAATGATAGTTACAAAACAGCATGGCCATCGCTTATTTGCAATCTCTAGCCAACTGCAGGCCTGGACACGAACGCGGAGCGGAACCTACTCTTCTTGTACCGCGCTGGATTCGGAGATTGAGAGGTTCTCGAGTACTTCTTCCTGATCTGATCGTATTGTGAGCGCGTCACTTTGAGTTTGCGGAAAGTCATCTTCCTCCACAGATCCTTGAACTTTTGTCGCCAGCCTGTGGGTCTGAGATGATTGGCAATCTCCTCTTCGACCTCAAGAGGTGCCTCTCGTTTGACGAGTTTGAGTTTGTCGGCGACGTTAGTCCACAATTCCCATGCGCGATCCCAAGGTCCACTGTGCCACTGAATCACACGATTCTGTCCGTTGGAGTGATTGAGAAAGCTGGGCTGATTCGAGGATGGGGCGAGGTAGACGGAGGCGGTGATAGGTTTTGGGGATGGTTGAGCTTCAATTTGGAGCAAGTGGCCTAAGACGAGGCTACGTCGGGAGAGCCAGACACCTTGTGGACCGGAGAAAGGGTGTGCGGCAAGAGGCAGCGAGAGAACTGTGGCAAGGTGAGAGAAGACAAGCCCCAAGCAGAGACACGAGAAGCCGAGCTTTGTCATCTTGGCTGTCTATCCGGTGTATACAATGCGCACACGATCGTTGCGTCGTCAGGAAAAATTTATGGGGAGTAATGAACAGCAGTTCTTGTGCCACTAGTTAAGAAGTGGCAAAGACGTTGGGAAGGAACCGATTTTATATGTATTTCTCTCGGTTAGCAAGCCGAAGCTCACATTTCACCAGATGAGCTCGACGGTCGATGCAGGGGAGAGGAGGCTCAGCAGCTCCGCACTTGCTCGCATGACCTGCACAAAAGATATGAAACCGCCCCCTATCACCCACCATGTTGCTTGACGACCACCGGATTTCCAAAGGTTTAGCCGAGATGCAGAAAAACTGAGGATCATGCATGTGAAATGCATGTTGGTTGACTTGACAACGACTCAAGAGCAGTTGCGGTGTTTCGAATTTGCTATGATGGTGTTGTTCTAAGTACAAGCTCAGGTCCGGAGGGGGACTTGGCTGTTTTGGCAAGTTTGAGCCCAGAAACTCCCAAGTCCCCCTCTCCATTTGCATGTGTGCTGGACTGCTGCAAAATTTTCAAGGGGGGGAATTCCTACGTTGTCGTGTTTCCCTCAACTAGAGCTCAGCACAAGAAGACGACCAAAGGGGTTCAACAGGAGACACACAGTTGAAGGGTGTGCGTCAAATATCGTTGATCACATGTATCAATTGCAATAAGGAGCATTGCTAAGTACATGATGATCTGAGTGTATATATATGTCTCAATACTCTTTGTATGTGTGTACAGTCCCTGTGCATAAGTTTGGGGACAATCAGATAATTTCCCAATTTAGTCAGTTACCCCACATTCTCATCATCATCATCATTGAGCAATAGCACCACCATCATACTAATCAAGAACACTTCAAACACTGATATGGTCCATGGCAATGAGCTCTCTCCAAGCAAGCATGCTTCAATCATTGCAATGCATTATACTGGGCTGCCAATTCGATGAATTGCAGAGCTAAGTGGTGTTTCCAAAACAGCAGTTCACAAGACCATCCATAACTTTAAGGAGCATGGTACCTTCGAAACAAAAGCATGATCTGGCTGGCTGCACTCCTGGACAGCTACCTTGGACTGATACCTTCAGCATGAGGTACTCAAAAACCCATTTCTATCATGGCGACAGCTGTCAGCATTGCTTGGTGGCATTCCAGTTATGTGTCATGGGCCTGAATGCTCAAGAAGCAGGAGGGTCACTGGTTCATATGGAAGGAGCACAGGTATCGAAGATCTAGTTGATACCAGTAGAAAGCATGGTCGTAGTGCAGCCTCCATGGAGACCATGGACTCCTATGGACTCACATGCAAAGGAGGACCGAGCCCATATGCAAGGAGGGCCAGGCACAGCCACAAAGAGGACCAAGCTCAAGGAGCATGCAGATGGTTACCACTCAGGGGCTCGAGAGACAAGAGGCACAAGGGTGCCAAGCAAGCAGGATAGCAAGGAGGAGGAGCAGTGTCGAAGGAGTCAATAGCTCAAGGAGGACAGGAGTGGTGCTAGAGGGGCCCCCTGTACAAGTACTCGATGAAGAAGGTACTCTCTGGAGAGAGAGAGCAGGAGCAGCATCACTGGTGACACTGTGAAGAGGTATATAACCATACTTTCTCATCATCAAAGGTTGAGTGGATCCTCATCCACTCTACACCCATCATAACTAGTTATCACTTCAGCATAAGTATATATTAGTTGCAGTCAGCATAGTAGCAATCTATCAAGGTTGCTCCTCATTGTAGTGCATGTGTTGTATCACCACTACCTGACATCCGAAGGCGGTTCATAGCAAACCAGCAGTCTGGATATAGATAGAACTGAAGGCAGTAGTCCACTGTGGTCTGGGGATCACTTCAAGCATCAAGTCAACACACTGGACACTTGTGTTGATGCCACCAACCTTATCACCAACACCATCAACCTCCTCATCATCAACACTCACACCAGACCTTGGTGTCATCATAACCTACATATTGATATTGATCATGCTGAGCTACCCCTGAACGGAGTGTCCACAGAGGTCAGCCGAAACCTACAATAGTATATACAATGAATACCACCTGCTGTCATTGCGCAACTTGATAGTTGCTGAACAACTAGCTCATTGAGACCAATACCGAGACGATAGCTGTCACACAGTTTGATAGTCACCGAGCATCTCGACAGACCGACCTGGGTTTCAGGCGCGAGACCCCTGACATTATGCAGCTCTGGAAAGCAGCATACTGGGCCAGTATTAACTGCCAGATTGTGCTCTGAAAGCTGTTTCTGACAGCCAAAAACCAACATAAATGTCTAGAATGGGCCAAGGCTAACAGCACCACTGATTGGAGGGGTGTGCTGTTCATGGACAAGGCAGCTGTCAAGGTTGGCTACCAGCCCAGATGCACATGGGTTAGTTGCCAGAAAAACACTCGAGAAGACATCAACAACATGGTGTCATGGGCCTAAGCTGCGCAGAGCGAGGGAAGGCCGAAATGATATGAAGGCAGCGCAGGAATCGTGGAATCAGGTAGATCGTAAGAGCTGCGACAGAGTTCACCGAGATCGGCAGTAGAATCAGCTCTATGGCAGACCCCAGCGAAATTGGCACGAGCATCGTCGATATCACGAATCCCACCAGAATCTGTGACAAGCGAGACCTTGTGGCAGATTCCATGGAGATTGGTAGCAAGGTTGTCTGTATGACAATTCACATGTGAGAGGGACCAAGCTCAAGTGACACATGGACGGTTACCACTCAGGGGCCCACAAGACAGGAGTAAAAGAGAACTGTCACCGGTCAGAGGAAGGGGAGCTGTGTAAAGGACACCGGCGAAAGGGACATGAAGAAGAGGAGCAGTGTCGATGAAGTTGACACAGCTCAGGTAAGACAGGAGGGACAAGGTCTGATACAGAGGAGGTGCCTCCTTGGAGACACCTGTACAATACTTGATGAAGAGGGTACTCTCTGGAGAGAGAGAGAGCAGGAGCAGTGTCACTGGCGATGCTGCGAAGAGATATATAGGCATACCTTCTTGTCATGAATGGTCGAGTGGATCCATCCACTCTACACTCATCAAGCAACTAGCATTACTTCAAGCAATAAGTAATGATAGTTCACAGTCAGCATAGTAGTAATCAACAGATTGCTCCTCATCGAAGTGTGTGTGTTGCATCACCATTTCCTGACATCCGAAGGTGGTTTGTAGCAACCAGCAGTCCAGATAACCATAGAACTGAAGGCAGACATCCACTGCGGCCCAGGGATCACTTCAAACATTAGTCGACACACTGGACACTCATGTCGGCATCAAACAATCCATACTCACACCAGACCATTGGTGTCAATATCAAGCTCATTTAGAGTCATATCGTAGTCTGATCATGCTGAGCTACCTCTGGACGGAGTGTCCACAGCGGTTAGTCGAAATCTGTCACAATGATAATACAACTACAGATTCTAACGAGAAAGGTGACAGAGAAGGCTCTGTCACATATTTCACTAAGAATCGAAATACCATTCACACTGTCACATAATTTGACAGAATCATTGATAGTACTGATACTACTACTGATTCAGGTTTCAGGCATGCGACTGCTGACATTAGAGTGGATCGTTCAAGCAGCACCCCACGATCATGATGACAGACCAAGGCCTCAACAATAAGCTTGACTGGCTCCTAGCACTATTGGAAGCCCAACTCGAGCTCACCAGGCAAGGCCAATGAGAAGAACGTTTTCGCTGTGCTCATCTAAGCAGAGAAGAGATGATTGAGTTCTCACCATCGGGAGAACAGGTAGGAGGTGACGAATCCATGATAGGAGATCCTCAGACTCCTACACTGGCACCATGACCAAGACAATCTGTCTCATTCACTGGCGCAGAAGAGCAGGACGACATCAATTATGAAAAGTACACATCACCCACCAGGCCAAAGTATTTCAAACCCAGGGTGGATCCATATAGCAGGACTAGGATGGAACCTTATGTCCCAGACTCGGAGGAGGACCCTAGTGTATTGGCAGATCTCTCTCGATCCAAGCCAATCGCCACACCCTTTCCTAAGTTTAACCTGCGAGATGTGGAGATATTCATTCTCGAAGCCAAAGCCTGGTTTAAGTTTAACCAGGTATATGAGCAAACAAGAATGATCAACCACATGGGCTCTCAATTGGAAGGGAATGCACAGGAGTGGTGGACCTCCAAGCTCCGAATTGACAGGGCACATGAAGGAAGGCTATTCAATGACTGGCACTACTTTACAGAGCGGCTGTCAGAACAATTCAATCCCCGGAACGCTAGAATGGAAGCCTACAACAAGCTATTGGCTCTCAAACTCACTAGCGATGCACCCAGTGCTGCCACCCGCCATGTGGAACGTTTCAGAGACCTGGAGGGACAAGTCAATCTGGATGATAATGAACTCATCATTGACTTGTTCAGAGGCAGTCTCACACATAGTCTACAAGAAAAGTTTGAACGTAACCCGCCTGCAAAGAGGTGGGGATGGTACCAAGAGGTCAAAGATATCGACTGGCAGAGGATGCTGCTACAGCAGTCCTCTGCTAGGCACCCAAGCGCTGTTCCTCCACGATTGAACCCAGGAATCCGACCAATGCCACCCATTCAGAGTTCATTCCCCGTTCGGCAACTGGCACAAAGAAACTCTGCTCATATGCCGGCACCAATGACGGCAGGTAGCCCAAGCAGGCCAATCAATCGGCTGCTACCTCAGCAGTATGCACCAGGCCCGAAACAAGGAGGCCCCACAGTACCAGGCAATAGCACTTGCCATATCTGCAAAGGCATCAGACATTGGGCCAGAGACTGCCCAAGCAAGAAAGCGGACCCTCTGGGGCCACGACCTTTGGGTCCAAGAGTCATGGTAACCACAGAAGATCCCTTTGAAGAAGGGGCCACCGACTCAGGGGATGGGCATACAGGCAGCGCTGAAATGAGCGACCCTGATGACCTAGACTTCAGTCATTACCAAGTTCCTAATGATGCTAATCATGAGGAGCCCCAAGATGACGACAACGAGGGAAACGACAGTGGGGCGATGCACTGATGGCATGCATGGCCCTACAAACCTCCTCACCATCGTTGTGTATATATCAAGATTGCCAAATATGTTTCTCCACCAGCAAAGGGAAAGCAGTATTAGAGCTCACAGGAACAGTCCAAGACCATCCTGCTTGTATACTCGCTGACACCAGTGCTGGCTTGTCCATAGTTTCAGATTCCTTTATCAGTAAGTACCTAATACCCACAAAACCCTCAAAAACAAGATCGATTCATGGTGTCACTGGACACCAGCTCATTATCAATAGTGCTGCGACCATACAGGTGGTTATTGGCGAGCACAGCCTAGGTGTAGTCGAAGTATCAGTAGCCGATACTGCTGACTACAACCTTATACTGGGATTCACCAAGCTCAGAAGGCTCAAACCCACCATATGATGGGACACAGGCCAACTAGAGTTCAAGTCCCAGGACCGAAAACGACCCCCTGAAGCTGCCGCAACTAGGGGCTTACAATCCAAAGCGTCAAAATCGGTCATAGTAGTGGGACTGTCACAGAATTCGACGAAAGCTGCTGTAACAGGCGAGCAAAAACAGGAGCTTGCCATAAGAGGTAGTTTATCACCGATTTCAACGAAATCTGTGGCAATGGGCTCCAACAAAGAAAAATTGGCACGACCAACCATGCATGGAAACGAGTTTGTCTCAGCAAAGTGCTTACTTCAGGCAGCTTTAGAGGACAGACCCATAGGGTTCATGTTATTGGAAGTACCACCCTCATCACTCCCAGCCTTTGGTTTTGTTCCTACCAGCACTGACAAAGGAGTAGAGATGGAGGTTGAGATCGAGAAGAAGGCGACGGCAGCGGATATACCAAAGCTGTACCAACACCTTCATGATGTGTTCGACGAGGTGGAGGCAGACAGGCTTCCCCAGCATACTGAACATGATCTCCACCTTGAATTAATAGAAGGAAGTCGACTGCCTCAAGGCCCATTGTATCTCAAGGGGCCTAAAGAAATGTCGGAATTGAGGAAGTATCTGGACGAGAACCTCGTGAAGGGATTCATACGACTGTCGAAGAGTCCAGCAAGGTCACCTGTGCTATTCGTACCTAAGAAAGATGGAGGTCTCAGGCTTTGTGTGGACTATTGGGGACTCAATGAGATTACTGTCAAGAACAGGGCTCCATTGCCCCTCATCGAGGAGCAACTGTTCCTGCTCCGGAAGGCGAAGATCTATTCCAAACTAGACCTCCAAGCAGCATACAACCTCATTTGCATCGCGAAAGGAGATGAATGGAAAACAGCGTTTGGTACACAATTGGGACTATATGAGTACCTTGTGATGCCATTCGGGCTAGCAAATGCACCAGCTCATTTCCAATTGTTCATCAATGTCATCTTCCAAGACATTATCGGAGCATATGTTGTTGTATACTTGGACAACTTCCTCATCTTCAGTGACACAGAGGAAGCACACGTACGACATGTCACTGAAGTTCTCACCCATTTGAGAAACAATTGGCTGTTTGCTAAACTGTCGAAGTGTGAGTTCCACACCACAACAGTAGAGTTCCTAGGGTATATCATCAAACCCACAGGGGTAGAGATGGATCCTGAGAAAGTACAGACAGTCAAAGAGTGGCCAATGCCAGAATCAATCCATGATATCCAAAGATTCCTTGGCTTCGCCAACTTCTATAGGCGATTCATTGCTCACTTCGCTCAAATCGCCAAGCCACTAACATCACTGGTGAAACCGACAGAACATTTTAAGAAGTTTGAGTTGCTGGAAGAAGCTCAACAAGCTTTCTACAAACTCATCCAAGCGTTCACGACAGCCGGAGTACTACGACACTTCAATTACCACCTTCCTACAAGGCTGGAAACAGATGCAAGTGACTTTGCCATCGCTGGAGTGCTCAAACAAGAGCATGAAGGATGTTGGCACCTGGTAGCATTTTATTCAAGGAAGATGTCATCAGCTGAGAAAAACTATGAGATCCATGACAAGGAGCTCCTAGCAGTGGTCGCCTGCCTCACTCAATGGCGACACATGCTAGCAGGACTACCAAGTCAGTTAGTCATTCTCACGGATCATGAGGTGCTCAAGTACTTTAAGTTGCAATGTCGTATCACTGGCAGACAAGCAAGATGGGCAGTATTGTTAGCAGATTTTGACTTTGTGCTACAATATCGACCAGGAGACAAGGGTGGCGAACCCGATGCTCTCACCAGATGAGCTGACATGCAGCCAGTCGGCGAAGAGCAGGAGCACAATGTTCGACAACTACTGCCTCCCCAGGTGTTTGAACCAGTCGAAAACGAAATCATGACAGGGAATGAGTTGCAGCAGATTTCAGCTGAAAACGTAATAGCAAGCATGATACTGCCGATTTCAGCAGAATCAGTTCTAACTGCATGTTCAGGTGACAATTCCATATTAGTGGCTCCTGTCCTCATGATGGAGTCTATAGCCACGAAAGGAATCAAAGATCTGGCCAGAATCTTCCAGCCTCTGGACCCAGAGCTTCAGGAGATCCATCTAAGGAAGCCGTTCGAGATCAGAAACAGCTTGTGGTATAGTGGCAGATGATTGGTTATCCTGAAGGTAACGATGCCAGGGAGAACCAATGACTGTCATTTGCGAAGTGCCAAAGAAGTTGATGGGCAATCGTTGTCTGTAGAACATTTGCAATTCATGGTCATGTCTCAATGTCATGATGGCATCACAGCTGGACATGTGGGATGAGATGCTACCATTAAGTCAGCCCAATGACACTATTGGTGGCCAAACATGTCAGCCTGGATTGCTGATTATGCCACAAGTTGCCAAGTGTGTGCCAGATATAAGGCTCCTTGCCATCGCCCATATGGCTTGCTGCAGCCACTCGCTACCCCAGACAGGCCATGGGGCTCTATATCCTTGGACTTCATTGAAGGATTACCACCCTCAAAGGGATACGATTCAATCCTGGTCATTGTCGACAGATTGACCAAGTTTGCTATTCTGGCCCCTACATACAAAACAGTCACAGCGAAACAGACTGCTGTGCTGCTATGGGGAAATCTGGTTAGACACTTCGGTTATCCAGATCACATGGTCTTGGACCGAGGCAGGCAGTTCATCTCAGGAGCATGGAAAGCATTTGCTGATCAAATGGGTATGAAACATTCGCTCAGCACTGCTTATCATCCTCAAATGGATGGGCAAACGGAAAGGGTCAATCAAGTAGTAGAGCAGTACCTTCGTATGTACTGCAACTATGAACAGAATGACTGGGCCAGCTTGCTTGACACTGCAGCGTTTGTGTACAACAATACTGTACACAATAGCATCGGTGTCTTGCCATTCTTTGCATGTTATGGATGGAACCCGAAAGCCCATCCTGACATTCCTCAACATCTAAGAGTGAACAACCCCGAACGTTCTGAGTACTTGCTTGATGGTAAAGAGTGCTGCAAGTACCTTCAAGAACAGATAAGGGAGGCACAGTGTCATATGGTTGACCATTATAACCGGAGACACAAGGACATAGAATTCAAGGTTGGCGACATGGTTTATATCAACTGCAAGAACTGGAAGATGAGACGGCCCACACCAAAGCTGGACACCAGGTTCGCAGGACCTTATCCAGTACAAGAAAGGGTGGGCCAACGAGCCTATAGAATCACATTGCCAGCAAACCTCAGAGTTCATGATGTGTTCCATGTGTCCTTGCTCGAACCAGCAAGGAATAGTTCTATTCCTCAATGATCAACACAACCAATCATACCATTGCTACCAGACGAGGATCTGGACTTCGAAGTTGAAGCCATTGTCGGCAAGCATTCACACAATGGGGCAACAGAATACAAGGTGCTTTGGAGGGGGTACCCAGAGGAGGCTGCCTCTTGGGAACCATTGTTGCATCTCAACTGTACTGACCTCATCTGGGAGTATGAGGTTTCGGCAGGGGGACGAGGCTAAACAAGCACGAGGAGAAGGAGAAATCGGTAAGAAGGGTGTTAGAACCGATTTGAGCGAAAAATGTGAGAGTAGAGGTGCTATTACGAATTACACGGGAATCTGTCACAGTACTAATGGTATGACAGATTTCAGGAAGAGGACCTGAAAACTACTCTCACCATACGAGAGGAGGGTCAAGAGCATGGTACTCAACAGCCAGGCTCATAATCAACATCACAAGAGTCAGGCCACAGACTCAGTTCAAAAAACAAGGGCATCGACATTACAGCAGGAGACATGTCACTACATGTCAACATAGGAAGAGGGAGGAGGAGGAGGAGCAAGTGACGAATGGATCACCAGTTCCTCCTCAGTAGGGGCGACCCACTTGTGAAGGAGGTCTGGAGGACCACCAGACTCCATGACAGACTTGTGAGGCTGACGCTCTGAGTACAGACAGTCATGATGCTCAACGTATAGCTGGAGCATATGGAGGAGGGAACTTACCAATTCCTGTTGGCGTAAGTGCCACACGACCTGCATTGCAGCCACCCAGTTGTGGGTCATCACTGGGTCGGTGGTTCATTCGTCTGACCGAACCAATCCAGGACCATATCCATTTGCTATGGTTAAGTGCACGTGTTCTACCTGATGAGACCCATGAGGTTGCAAACTCGGAGTCCCATCACCAGTGTAATCCATGCTGGGGTGAGCTGGGATGCTGCACTCGCAGTGACCCAACCCGGCTAGGTAACAGTGCATGCAGGCATAAGGGATTTGGGTACGTTCACCAAACGGGTTGGTAAATGCAGATGCAAAGCAGCTAAAATGAAGAAAGGAGTTCATCAGTATCGGTTCAGAGTCAAAAGCAAAAGTTGAGAAGTGTACTTACAGAATGCCTAAGTTGAAGCAGCATCAACACTGCCAACTTGGCCATGGCATGCAACCCTCCATGAGGCGAAGCATGACTAAACAGTGAAGGCATTTAGCTGGTAAGGAACCAACCGGTACGTCCCAGTCTGGAGGGTAGTAATGGTCAGCAACCTGAGTCAAGAGCTCAGCCATGACAAATTGTTCTGACCACCCAGCAATTTC